TTCCGGTTTCAGCTAGAATGTCAGGGACCTCCCAAGAAGAACCCCATCTATTCTGTCTAAAAATGCCCCCTTCCATTTATTCTCTGTGTCATTATCCAGTTTAACTTCTTTTGTAGTGTTTATCACTATCTGAGTTCATTGCATTTACTTATCGTTCATCTATTTTGTCTCATTCCCACCTCTAGAATGCACGTGCAGGATATCAGGGACACAATTCAGTGTCCATAGTAGCCACTCAATGAATGTTTGCTGGATGAATGAATCAGTAGCCAAGATGGGATTGGAACTCCTATTTCCTGGATCCCAGGCCTGTGGGTTTTCCTGCATTTGCTGTCCACAGGGCCCAGGAGGTTCCGAGTTTGGAAGATGGCCTGGGAGTTTGAAGTTGCACCAAATGGCCAGGGGGAGAAGGAGCTGCTGCAGGACGTCTGTTTTAATTGTCAGAAGGCAGCTGACCATTTGTTTTTGGTCAGATAAGCTGCTAAAGTAGGACTTGTGAGTGAGGGAGTGAGTGTGTGTATAGGGCTGGGATGGGAAGGGAGTGTTGCATGGCCAGAGAAAGGGGAGAGGAATTCCAGAGACAGCCGGGCACCCCGCCTGCTTCCCTGTCCTCCCCTCCCCTTTCCCTCAGATAACACCAGCAGCTGTTCTCGACACACAGCTGTGCTCCTCTTGGGAAGGGGAGAAAAGGGCCCTGTTGCCCTGGGAGAGTTCCCAAGCTGTGGAGTTCAAAGCAGACATGTAAAGTGAGGGGGGGGGGCTGGAGGGGAGGAGGGGAGGAGTCAGCAAGGGACAGAGAAAGGCAGGTCCACTTTGATGTCCCCCACCCAGAGCTTGGGGCAAGGTCTGGGCGAGGTTTCTGCTTTTCCCCCTCATCCTGAGCCCTTAGAGAGATCCAATTAACCCCCCTTTCCTGTCCTCCAGGGAGGAAGTTTATCCAGATCCCTGACCCCAGTGAATGCTGTACCCAATGCACACTTGTACTCCATGCACACACAAGTCCCGTTGCTCACAAGTGACCCTGTGGCACACACAAACCCTGCACACAAGTGCACACAGCCACACACAACTGAGTGCACAGGGCCAAGACAGTCTCCACTTTCTGGGCCAGAAACAACCCTGGGGGTGGTGTGAGTGAGGGCTATTGAATCACTGACTCCAGAGGTCCCCCAGCTGTCTGGGCTCTCCTCAGAAGGCCCTGCAGCAGATCTAGGATACTGTTCTGCCAGGAGCCATTTGTCACAGTGCCTTGAAGAAATTACCCAGCAGAGAGAGGAGTCCCCAAGGAAACTCTCTTGGCCTCTCCAGGGCAGGCCAGCCTGGGGGACACTGGCCAACTGTCTTTTCCTAGCTGCTATTTTGCCAGATGGCTCAGGGTAGATTATTCTGGATCAGTTTAGCAAAAAGTTTCCCTTGTTAATGCAATAGAGAAGCCCCGGGGTGAAGACCAGCATTTCTCATCCTTTCTCTGTGTGTTCCTATGGCTTTAATTCAAAGGCATTTACCAGACGCCATGTTGAGGGGGGTACAGAAATGAAAAGCAGGTTCTGAGCAGATTAAAAATTAACCCTCTGTCCAGTGAGGGCTCACATCTGAGCCTTGTGGCACAGAAGACCAGCCTTCAACTACTGGTCCTATTTACTAAACTTTCATCTTCAGTGTTGGATGGACAGGGACTGTGAGTGTCAGGCAGAGTGAGGAATGAGCCTGGCTGATTCTGCTCAATTCAGGCTGCCGTTGCTGGGGACACTCAGGCTATCTGGCTCCAGCTGGCTCTTGGCTGGAGGCCGGATCTTATCAGCGCTCGCTGCACTCTCTCTGGCCCCATACAGTGGCTCCCTCCCAGCCTTAGCCCCCAATTCCCTCCCATTTCCTCCCTCCTTACCATTCCTTTGGTAAGATGAACTGCTTCTTACCTCCTCTCAGGCAGAGAGCCTGGAGTCCAGAGGATTAAAGGATATCGTCTCCCATGGGGTCTCTAGGCTCCTATTTGGCTTGGGATCCAAGTGGGAACAGCTAGGGGGAGGGACCTGATTTCAGGGACATGCCAAGCTCACTTGCTCCTCTCCCTCTATTTCCTAGCTGCAGAGGGTGTTTGCTTCTTTCTGGGAGAACCAGAGAACACCTGGACTCACTGGCAGTCTCGAACTTGGCCTTTATCCTAGAATGTCATTTTTATTCGTAACGGGGCCATCTATTGTGACCTGACCCGAGCCGGACTGGTTCCTGACAACCCTTAGGTCCCTTTTGATAGGTCAAGGTTGAAGAAGTCTGCCATGGTAGAAGATTAACCATTTCCACCCAAGCTTGCTGTCGGCTTATAATGACAGCCATTCTGCCACCTGCGCAGACCTCTATTAGACAAACACTCAAGAGCAATCAGGCTCCAAGCAGTTCCTACCCTGTGTACATGAGATGGAAGAAGCCTCAGCTCTGCGTCCTATTGGATGTCCTGACCACCATTTTGCAGACTGCCAATCTTCCAGAGGCTGGGTCCTGTAAACTTTCCAGTTGGCATCAGGCAGTCAGGAATCTTTAAAAATGGCTGGTCACAGGGCAGTTTCTGGATCAAGCTATGGTGCTAACCCTAAGGGCACAGACAATTGCCTGGAAGGGTTCTTACACCCTGTTCAATCAATTGGGTTTTTAATTTCACCCAAGATAGCTTATTTCGAGGTAAATTACAGGTATCTTAGCACCATCCCACATTTCTGTAATGCTCAACGATCACAAACTCCCCAATTTAAAAAAGGTTGAAGTTTTTTCTTTGGGAACATAGTGATTTAGTCCATGGACTCAAGACAGCTTTGGTTCAAATTCCGATTCTGACAACTACTAGCTGGGTGGCCTTGGCCAAGTCATTTTACCTCCCTGTGCCTCAGTTTCCCCATCTGTAAATTGAGATCAATGAGAGTACCTACTTCCTAAAGTTGTTGTACTGATGAAAAGAGATAATAAATAGGTGTAAAATATAAAATGTTTAGAAGAACGCCTAGCAGGTAGTAAGTGCTCAATATGGAGTCCTCATCAGAAACACCAACATGTTCTCATTCACACATCTCCTTTAGGTAACGGACATCTAAGACTCTCAGGATCTTTCTCGTCTTTCTCTCCAGACTTCTCTCCTGTATCCTCCTCGCTACACCCTAAGGCTTTGGTCATGTTTATCTTCATTTCTCTATCTTTGCATTTTATGTTTCTTCCTCCTGGCCTATCCTCCCTGTTATTCTCCCACCTTCTATTCTTGGCAAGCTCCCTTTCAAAGAGCACCAACTGGGGGCCCAAGGACAAGTTTCACTTGTCCTGCTCTATCTTTTTTTAATGGAATTAATTTCCCAAGTTTACAAATCCAGAAATTTCTCATAAAATCCATAACTGGAAATTATACTGAAAAACCAGAAGACTCGGTAATGCTAGGCTCCACAGTTTTGCCTGGCAATGAGAGACTGGAGCTGAGGAGGCCTCCTTTTGATGGAATGTGCTTGCTCTGGTTTGCCCCAGTCTCCACCACACCCTATTGTCTCAAACTGGCTGTTTTACCCATCCACAGTCTTAGCCTCGTTGTTGTGGCTATTTGAGTTTGGGCTCCCTGCTTTAAGACCTCTGCAGAAGATTTTTCTGACCAACCTTCCCTTGAGACAATGGATTCTACTTTTGTAAGCCTTTCCTTTGAATGTGGCCAAGACTCATGTCCTGATTTTGCTTTGTCTCATTCCTGCACAACTTGAGATGGCCTCCTCCACTCTTGGGGGTGCATTTTTTTAAATCTTATCTTGTGCACCCTTCCCTCATGCCTGCCCAGAGGTCCTGGAGAGGCAAGCAGACAGGGTAAAGTGAGTTTCTATGGGACTGTGTCCACAGCATATACTCAGTGGCTGCCCCTTTCTCTGCCTCCTCCTCTGGCTGTTTCTGACCCCAACATGGTCTTGTAGAAACCTCCTGGTCCATGGAGGTTTTCCAGGTTCCAAGAACGTGAGGACTGAAATGTATCCATGTTCTTATTGCACAGTAATTCATACTCTCATTCCTCTCTATATGGACTCCTCCTTATCTTTTCCCTGAGGAACATTTGCCCTGAGCTAACATCTGTTGCCAATCTTCCTCTTTTTGTTTTGTTTTTTTTTGTATGTGAGCCACCACCAAAGCATGGCCACTGACAGATGAGTGGTGTAGGTCCACACCCGGAAACCAAATCTGCGCCGCCGATGGGGAGCGTGCTGAACTGAACCACTAGGCCACTGGGGCTGGCCTGTATGGGCTCCTCTTTTTGCTTACTCCCTAATTCATCCATCCACTTACTTATTCACTTAACAACCATTTAGTAATCACCTATACATGCCAGGTTTGGAGAAGAAGAAAAGCAAATAACAAAATGGTAACAAAATTCATCCTGTGACCTTGGGAAAGACATTTTCCTTTTTAGGCCTCAGTTTCCCCATAGATTTAATGACTTGATTGGAGATCATTTTGTCTCGGGTTTCTTTCATCCTATGACTCTGTCCTGACTCTCTAAAACTTCCTATATCATCCACAAACTGCAATCTGCCAACAGCTTATGAATTCTAGAGAAATCCCCCTATAATTTTGTCTGTAAACCACACAAGTTCCCAGAGAGAGGGTCAAAGTGGAGGTATAAAGGAGGATGACGTGAGGAGATGAGTAGAGTGAAGTCTGGTCTGTGTGGGGGCTGGGAGAGCAGGAGGGGAGGTTGGGGGACAGACCCTGAGGGGCCAGACCCGCCTGCCAGGAGGGCTTGCCAGATGCTTAGACCATCCTGCGAAATCTCACACCCTCCTTGCCCCCCACCCACCCTGGCTCCAGCCCAGGCTGGATTTCAATCTGCATAATTTGCCCCATTTAGAGGGGATGTGGGGGGGTGAGAATAGGAGGGTAGAGACGACTGAGGAGCTGGTGCTCCAAAGGCCGGAGGAAACCAGAGGGATAGAGGCTGGGGTGCAGCTGGGTGGGAGCCAGAGGGAAAAGGTGGGGCCAGGAGGAAAGCAGGCTGCAAACCACAGATAACATTCTGCCCAGCACAGCAGGGGTCAATTTGGTCCACTTGTCCAGTGACAAGAAGGGAAAAAAAAAAGTGGGCTGTAACTTAAAGATCTTAAGACTCACAAATGAGGGGTTGGTCTGGAGGTGGGAGGAGGGAGTGACAAGCCAAGGAGGAGACAGAGACTCAGGAGGGCTCGAGGAAGTGTCTTAGCTGAGGCTGGGGCCAAGCAGTGGAGGGCGGAGGGAAGTCTGCATAAGCAAAGCATCCTCCAGGGTCCTGAGAATCCAGAAGCAGCTCCTCCTGCTGCTGGGAAGGGCTCCGGACACCTTCAGCCCTTGTTGCCTGCCCTCTGAGGCTCAAGCCAGAAGCTCAGGGTGCTTGCTGGGTTGCTGACACAGCCACGGAGCTGGTACCCTCAGGACCCCCTGCCCGTCTTCTCTCCGCTCCCCAGCATGGAGGAGGGTGGCGAATTCGACAACTACTATGGGGCAGACAACCAGTCTGAGTGTGAGTATACAGACTGGAAGTCCTCGGGGGCCCTCATCCCTGCCATCTACATGCTGGTCTTCCTCCTGGGCACTTCTGGCAATGGCCTGGTGCTCTGGACTGTGTTTCGGAGCAGCCGCGAGAAGAGGCGCTCGGCTGACATCTTCATCGCCAGCCTGGCGGTGGCCGACCTGACTTTCGTGGTGACCCTGCCGCTGTGGGCCACCTACACGTACCGGGACTATGACTGGCCCTTTGGTACCTTCGCCTGCAAGGTCAGCAGCTATGTCATCTTTGTCAACATGTACGCCAGTGTCTTCTGCCTCACTGGCCTCAGCTTCGACCGCTACCTGGCCATCGTGAGGCCAGTGGCCAATGCTCGGCTCAGGCTGCGGGTCAGCGGGGCTGTGGCCACGGTGGTCCTGTGGGTGCTGGCCGCCCTCCTGGCCACGCCGGTCATGGTGTTCCGCTCCACTGGGGACCTGGACAATACCACCAAAGTGCAGTGTTACATGGACTACTCCATGGTGGCGACCTCGAGCTCCGAGTGGGCCTGGGAGGTGGGCTTGGGGGTCTCGTCCACCGCTGTGGGCTTTGTGGCACCCTTCATCATCATGCTGACCTGTTACTTCTTCATCGCCCAAACCATCGCCGCCCACTTCCGCAAGGAGCGCATCGAGGGCCTGCGGAAGCGGCGCCGGCTGCTCAGCATCATCGTGGTGCTGGTGGTGACCTTCGCCCTCTGCTGGATGCCCTACCACCTGGTGAAGACGCTCTACATGCTGGGCAGCCTGCTGCACTGGCCCTGTGACTTCGACCTCTTCCTCATGAATGTCTTCCCCTACTGCACCTGCATCAGCTATGTCAACAGCTGCCTCAACCCCTTCCTCTACGCCTTCTTCGACCCCCGCTTCCGCCAGGCCTGCGCCTCTATGCTCTGCTGGGGCGAGAGCAGGTGTGGGGCTACCTCCCACAGCAGCAGTGGGGAGAAGTCGGCCAGCTACTCCTCGGGGCACAGCCAGGGGCCCGGTCCCAACTCGGGGAAGGGCGGAGAGCAGACGCATGAGAAATCCATCCCCTACAGCCAAGAGACCCTTGTGGTTGACTAGGGCTGGGATCCAAGAGAAGCCCCGTGCCCTCTGCCTTGCCTCAGCCTTTGCCCTTGCTCTCTGAAAGTCAGGTAGCATGAATGCGCCTTCTCTCTTGCACTTGACTCTTTTCCCTGCTCCCTGTCTCTCTCCTCCGTCTTGTCCTCCTTTCTCCTCTATTCTTGTCCAGAGGTTTGTGGATTGGTGGAAGGAGGCTGCGCCCTGCAGGCTCGTGCTCTGCAACTCAGTGTCTGTGCAACTGACCTTGCACAAGTCTCTTACCTCTCTGAGCCTCAGTTTCTCCATTTGTATAAAATGGGAGAAGTCATACTGACACTAAAATGTTGATGTGCGTATCCTGGCTCAATAAAAGTTCATTTCCCTCCACCCCTTTTCTTGGATCTTCAGCTCCCTTTTCTTCCTCCTTTTCTTTTACTTTTCTCTCCCCTCTTCCTCCTTCTGTGTTTCCCTCTATCTCTGCAATTTTTACTCTGAATCCTTATCTTCTGGCTCCTACTCCCTCTCCCATAGCTCGTCCCCCTCCCTCAATCCCTCCTTCCTCCCTTTTGCCTCCTTGTTCTAAAGGGCTCCTAAGGGTGAAGAATCCTGAAGCCTGAAAACACTACTTCTGTTCAAGCTCTTTATCCAGGTCCCTGAGAGAGCCAGGGAAAGGGCTGGGGCGGGGGTGGGGGGCTGGGTGTCAGCAAATAGTGCTCCAATCTCTGCAGCTACGAGCTCCAAAACTTTCCCCCAAATCAGATTAGTTTGCTGTAAGTTTGGGCACTGACGGTAGAGCCATCCCAGAAGCGGGCCTCCCTCCCTGCAGCCCTTCCATGATGCCAACTTGATATGCTTTCTGCAGATTTCCTCAGACCGTTCCATTCATCCTCTGTTCTCTGTGGGGATTGGAAGGCAATGGGTTGATGAAGCAACAGGCTCCTTGGTTTCATTCTTTGATTGGGGAGTTGGGAAGGGAAAGTGGAGAAAGAGGGGAGTCTGCATGTAGTCTATATGCTACTTGGCTTTCTTCCCCAAATCCTCACCCCTTCAACCTCCTCCAGAACTGTGAGCTACAGGTCTTCCCCATCTCCCCACCCCACCCTGTCAGCCCAGGACACTTTTCTTGGGCACTGGTGCTAGTTGGTGCCAAGAGTGACTTTGGTGGGGATGGGATGCTTGCTTTGTGTGTGTGTGTATATATATATATATATTAGCATGGATGTGCATAACATGAAGAGCAGTGTGCCTGTGTCACTTGTCACTTGTATGAACACCCCCAACCCCCCACATCTCCACTCTTCACACAATATCCTTGAGGGAAGAAGGGACATATTGAGGGAATATAGAATAAAAATGAGTCTACCCCCCACTGGATTTGGGGGCTCTGACGGCTGGTCCGTGCTTTAAGAGAGGAATCTATGTTTGCAGTGGGCTCCCTATGGGGAGACTTCTCCCCAAAGCAGCTGGCACCCAAGGCTTGGGGAAGTCCTATGTGCTGGGCCCCTGCCCTTCCCCAGTTCCATAAACAGGAGGCTGGTTAAAAGCTTCCCTTGGCCCCTTTCCCACACCTCCCCACCTTGCTTTGAGTTTACGAGCATTTCCCTCATCACTCTCTCCTTTTCCAGGGTCAATGGACTTCTTCCTAAGGGAGGGCACCTGCTTTCCATGGGGTGAAAAACATTGGGTGGATTTTTTCTCACCTCACTGTCAATATTGGACCCCTGGGCTTTTCCTGCTGGATTGGGGGGCTGGGAACAGTGACTGGAGCAGCCATGTAGGGCTGACAGCATGACATCCACACCGCCAGAGAGACCTTGAGGATGAAATTGATGGTGGGGCCTTTGTGAGCTGGGGGTGGGATGTGTATATTCCGGGTTTTGTTCTTGGAGGATTCTGGACGTGAAGGACAAGACATGAGCCATGCAGGCAGGAAGAGCCCAGCTTGATGTAAAAGGACTTCTTGACAACTGCTGGGATGGAGCCAGCTCTGGGAGCAGAGGGAGGAGGAGAGGGAAGAGGCTCCTCTCAGCTTAGTGTCCCCATCACAGGCTAGAATCTTTCACAGACTCACTTTCTTGGCCCAGGGCTGTCGCCAAAGCATCCAGTCAAGACTGGAGGGGGCTTCTAGAAGGGAAGGGGGTGCCCCTCTGAGGCCCTCCTGAGTGATCTGCAGGGATCACTGCCTGGAGTCCTGCCTGGAGCTCGTCAGTGGGCCTGGACAGAGGGTGGAGGAGGCTGCCTGCTGTGATGCTCCCTCATCCCCCACCCGCCCCTTCTTTGGAATGTCTGTGCTATTTTCTGACCCTGTTTGTCACTGCGGTTCATCAAATAAATCTCTTTTGTGTAACTCTTGTGTCCAAAGCCTCTTCTCACACAAGTGTCTCCGTGGTGAGGAAAGGACCCCCAGTTGCAAATGTTTACGTGGGAGGTGGAGTGAGCACGGCTGAGGGGGGACAGCAGGGAGAAGTGGGAGCTAAAAGGAGCAAAGCAGGAAGCTGGAAAGGATGTGGGGGAGGTGGCGAGAAGATGGTGAAAATAGACACCAGGGCAGGGAAAGGATGGAGTGAGATCAGGGAAGGCACAGGAAGTAAAGGAAAAGAAGAGCAGCTAAGATATTGTGCTCTGAAGAGACGTGGAACAAATGGGCACACATTTTGGAGTCCAGAGCACAGATCTAGGGGAAAATACCAACATTTCTTCCCATAGGTAGACCTATTATTCATTCATTCATTCCTTCCTTCCCTCATTCATTCCTTCATCCCTTTATTCATTTATCCTCCTCTATTGACTTATTCATTCATTCATTCATTCATTCATTCATTCATTTAGCATCACATGAACTTCCATTCAGTTTAGACCAGAATTTCAAACACTTGTTCTCCAAGAGAGTCACTCTGGATGGTTTTAAAAACACCCATTCCCAAGTGTCATCCCAGCTATACAGAATCGGAATATCCTGGACTCACTCCAGATGTTCACAATTACTGAAAGCTCCTCAGATGATTTCTAGAGGAGGTTGGGTTTGGGGATGTCTCCAGCCAAGATAGATTCTGCCCAAATTAAAGTGGGCACAAAAGACTAGATAGAACCAGAATAAACCAGCTCTGGATGGTCATCTATTTGGGGAAAGAAGGGACTGACATGATCCTTGGGGAGAAATACTCAATCCAAAGGCCATCTTCCAGGAAGACTTTTGGGTACTAATAATGTTTGCAGATGACACAAAAACAATCACTATAGTAGAATGGATGGTAAGTAACGAGAGAGCTCGTGTTTACTGGATAGTAAGTAATGAAAAAACTCATATTTACTGCATTTTACCAAGCATTCTCTCATTTAATCCTTGCAATCCTCTGAGAGAGGCATTTTCACCTCATTTTATGATAAGGAAGCTGAGGCTCAGAGAGATTTGTCAGGTACCTTGACCAACTGTGGAAGAGCCAGGCCTGGAACCAGTTGAGTCTGTCCAACTCTAAAGCCCACGCTCTTGACCAGTGTTCCTCCCAAAGTACAAATGAGGCAGAACTGGGTGGTTGGGGATGAAAGTGAGATCTGATGTGTAAGGTGCCTGTTACACATGGAGGGTGCTCAATGAAGGGGGACTGGGGCAGGAGGGGCATGGGAGAGGAATGGTGGAAAACGCATGAAAGAGAGAGAGAGAGACAGATAGAGACAGCAAAATAAGAGACAGAGAGAGACAGAAAGAGACAGAATGAGAAGAGAGAGAAGTAGAGAGAGAGATGGTGAAAGAGAGACAGAGATAGGGAGACAGAGAATGAGGAAAGAGAGAAATCAAGGCAGAGAGGGACAGAGCAGCCTGAGGAGGTAGGTAGAAGAAATTGCCAGGCAGGGAGGGAGCTGGAGGACAGGGTGTCTCTGCTTGTTTTCCCTCTTTTGAAACAGGCTTGGGAAAACCCTGCAAGAATTTACAACTGTAATAACAAGCTATTGGAGCTATTTTTTACAGATGCTGTAAAAAAAAAACTGTCAACAACTCTCCAGGGAAATTCGAGGTAAGTTATCCAAAAAATTATAAGATTACAGAGCACTTAATAATTCATTTGTTCACACATTTCTTCATTTCTTCACTCTCTCACTCATCTGTTTATTCAACAAGTTCTTATTTAATACTTATGTGCCAAGCAGCATGCTGGGCACAGGATCAAATGGTGAGCAGGACCCAGTGGGCTCCCAGTCTGGTGGTGGAGACAGACAGTTAGACGAGCAATTATAATCGAATGTGGAGAGTTCTGAGAGAGGGAATGTACAATATGTTCTTAGAGCCTAATGGAGATAATGGAATGAGTCTAGGCAGAGTGTCAGGGGAGACTTTAGAAACCAAGGCATGCCAGGAGCCTGCTCTCTGCATGGTGGAGGGTGAGCTGTTAGCGCAGAAATGTTCTGTGCAGAGGAAATACCCAGAGATAAGAGAGCACAGCCCCTCTGAGGAACTGGAAAGAGTGCTCATCCTTGTTTTCACCACCCCCACCCCAGCTCTGGGAGGGGAGCCAGGCAGGAGCACAGAGAAAAACCTGCCCAGCTCTCAGAGCAGGGATGACAAGCAGATTGGGGGCTGGGACTAAAATCCAGGTCTCGAGACAACTTGGGGGGCCAGAGACATTTTTTCTGGTGACTTCCAGTTTTTCTTCTTCTTGGACTTGAGCTGTCTTTCTTCAAGATATCTGCCAGGGTCTCCTAAACAGAGGCCAGGAGTTCTGGGCCCTCTTGCACTGGGCTTGTTGGAGAAAGATGTTAAGAAGGGGCAGATGGATTCCTTGGGAGGACAACCCCTGGAAGCCAGACTGACACGCAGCGTGACAGGATCTAGACGTGATGGCCCCACCATCTCAGCTGGTACCACTGTCTGAACTCCAGGGAGTTTGAAGCTTGCAAGGCTTGATCCAGAGGGTACAATTCTTCTCAATTATTGCCCAAGTGGTTATGAAGTTACTATGAGCAATATTGGAGGCACAAAGATGTGACTCAGGGAGCTTAAAATCAAGTCCATAAGAAAGGAGATTCGGAGACCCTGGGTTGATTCTAGAAATCTCAATTTATAGTAAGAGTGTTTGAGTATCAAGCAATGTTCATTGATTTATTCATTCAAGAAACATTTATTCAGTGCCTACTATGTGCCTGGGACTGTCTTTTTTTTTTTTTATTGAGGTCATGATAGTTTATAACATTGTGAAATTTCAGTTATACATTATTATTTGTCAGTCACCATTATATATGCCCCTTCACCCCTTGTGCTCACCCCCCAATCCCTTCTGGTAACCACTACACTGTTCTCTTTGTCCATGTGTTAGTTTATCTTCCACATATGAGTGAAATCATATGGTATTTGTCTTTCTCTCTCTGGCTTATTTCGCTTAACATAATACCCTCAAGGTCCATCCATGTTGTTGCAAATGGGGCGATTTTGTCTTTTTTGTGGTTGAGTAGTATTCCGTGTGGCAATAATATATACCATATCTTCTTTATCCAATCATCAGTCGATGGGCACTTGGGTTGCTTCCACTTCTTGGCTATAGTGAATAATGCTGCAATGAACATAGGGGTGCATAAATCTCTTTGAATTGTTGATTTCAAGTTCTTTGGATAAATACCCAGTAGTGGGATAGCTGAGTTGTATAGTATTTCTATTTTTAATTTTTTCAGAAATCTCCATACTGTTTTCCATAGTGGCTGTACCAGTTTGCATTCCCATGAGCAGTGTATGGGTCTTCCCTTTTTTCCACAACCTCTCCAACATTTGTTATTTTTTGTCTTGGTAGTTATAGCCATTCTAACTGGTGTAAGGTGTATCTTAGTGTAGTTTTGATTTGCATTTTCCTGATGATTAGTGATGTTGAACATCTTTTCATGTGCCTATTGGCTATCTGTATATCTTCTTTGAAGAAATGTCTCTTCATATCCTCTGCCCGTTTTTTGATTGGGATGTTTGTTTTTCTGTTGTTGAGTTATTGAGTTCTTTATGTATTTGGACATTAACCCCTTGTCAGATATATGCTTTGCAAGTATTTTCGCCCAGTTGGTGGGTTGTATTTTCGTTTCGTTCTTTGTTTCCTTTGCCTTACAGAAGCTCTTTAGTCTGATGAAGTCCCACTTGTTTAATTCTGGGACTGTCTTAGAAGCTGAGGATATTGAGGTGAACCAGACACCATCCCTACCTTCATGGAGCAACTAGTCTTACCTTCCCATTGAATGGATGGGTAAACTAAGGTCCACAGAGGGGGAATGATTTATACAAGGTCATACAGTGGGATAATGGCAGAGGTGGGACTAGAACTCAGACTTCTCTCTGCCAGACAAGAGCATGTTCCATGGATCCAGGATTAGAAAAGAGAGATCTTTTATTGAGAATATGAAGAGCAAGTGCAGAAGGTCAGAGCAATGATGGGCCACTAGCTGGACAAGTGGTGGGCACAAAGGTGGTTGAAGATAATTATCTATAGTTTTGTTAACACACCTTTTATTTTAGAACAGTTTTAGATTTACAGAAACATTGCTGATTCAGTGCAGAGAATTCCAATATATTCCCCATCCTGTTTCCTTTATTATTAACCTCTTACATTAGCATGACACATTTGTCACAATTAATGAACCAATATTGATACATTATTATTAACTAAGTCCATGTTTTATTCAGACTTTCTTACTTTTTACTTAATGTCCTTTTTCTGTTCTGTTCATTCGGGACACCTCATTACATTTAGTAATGTCTCCTTAGGCTCCTCTTGGCTGTGGCAGTTTCTCAGACTTTGGTTTTGATGACCTTGAGAGTTTTGAGAAGTACTGGTACAGTATTTTGTTCCATGTACTTTTTAAACAAATATATGTTTATTTCCATATACCAGGCACATTCCAGGTGGTGAGGATAGAGGAAGAAATAATATACAAGTGATTCCTGCTCTTCTGGAGTTTAGAAATGGATAACAGAGTGTAGTAAGCATCATCACAGGGGAAGAACAGGAGGCCACAGAGGCAAACACCCGTCTTCTGGTGGGCACCACAGAGTGATCACAACAAGGCTAATGTACTGGCTGAAAGCACAGTTCCACCTTCAGTTCCTCCGGAATTTAAATGTCTGGCATTCTCTCTCACCTCCAAAGCCACCCTAGGGCTCATTTTCTTGCTTGAATAACTGGAAACCTGAGGACATGAAACAAAAGAATATTTACGTTCCATGGGCATCTTACGCCATGTTATTCTGTACTTTATTATTTAGTCATGTGGTGCATCTCTTGCTTATTTGAGGATACCTCCTACATGGACAGAGGATAACCAGAAATGGACTCCCCAAACCTGCTTGAACTACCTTTCTCAGCCAGCATCCTACTCCTG